TTCTTTTGACTGTGTTTATGTCATACTTACTTCCTTTAGCTTTAAATTTTTAGCTACACTATTTACAGTGTTTTACATTTTATAAGTTTGTTTTTGTTTTGTTTTGGTTTTGATCAAACACAGTTTCTGGACTTAAGCGCTATCACAATCCTCCTATTTTTATAAAAATTCTAAAGAAAGCTGGGTGTGGTGGCTCACACATGTGATCCCACACTTTGAGAGGCCAAAGCAGAAGGATCACTTGAGGCCAGAAGTTTAAGCCCAAACTGAGTAACAAAGAAAGACTCCAGTGCTACAAATATTTTTTTTTAAATAGCCAGGCATGGTGGCACACACCTGTAGTCTCACCTACTCAGAAAGCTAAGGCAGGAGGGATCTACGCGAGCACAGGAGTTGAAGGCTGCAGTGAGCTATGATTGTGGCACTACATTTCAGACTGGGTAACAGATTCTCTTTTAAAAAAAAGAAACAGAAGGAAGGAAAGGAAGTAGGGAGGAAGGGAGGGCGGAAGTCACTTTTCCTTTTTCTAAATGTAGTGGAAAAACTGGCCACCTTTTCTGTAGAAAAGCCAAACCCATTAGAAAAAATTCAAATCTGCATTGCCCATAAAACCAATGTAGAAAGAAAACAGATAACAGCGATGCATCAGTTGGCTATCCTGGGCAGATATCCCCAAGTAAAAACTCCCCCCAAAGTTGGACAGCATATAAAAACAGGGCAAAGTTCCATTTTTCTGCCCTTGCTCCAATATACATACTGTCTCCAAAACATTACTTATAAATATTCTCTCATTAGGCAATTGAATATTAACTTCAAGAAATAAAGCCTAGTAAAGGCTTTTACTTGGTATGAATCTGTCTTACCTTTTTTTCTGGTTTAAATAGTTTATATCCATTACAAGTTAAGTCATACAAAGAACACATATATTTGTGACGATCAACATCATGAATCAGAAATATAGACCTTTTAACAAGCAAATCCTAGTCTCAATTCAAAGTGAAGTTATTTTTCTGAGCAATTAGTAACATTTTTATAAGTATCTTGGCACCATGTGTGCAAAAACATCAGTTAAAATTTAGGATATGAAAGATTTTTAACAGTCAAAGGCAGCCAATAAATGCCAGTTGTTAAACTTGTGGGCTGAAAAACGACAGCACGCAAGCTGGGTCCACCAATAAAATATTTATTAAACTCTGACTCACACCAAAGAGCAACAAGGAAACTATATTGTGTTACTCTCACTTGCTTTTTCATATTCAGATGAAATTGCCACAACACTGCCAGGGCCTCCTGTTGTTCCACTTTGTATAGTGGACCCTTAGCTGTAGAGAATTTCCATCAACATTCACCACACTGCAAACACCAGAAGCTGATTCATCTTCCCAAGGCAGCCTCACCACTCTATTCTGATAATTCATTAGGACCAGAGTAGTTTATGATAAGCACTCATAATTCTTCAAACTTTCTTAATATATTTGAACAAATAATATTAAACCACAACTATTCCTTCTCTAATGACATTAAAAAAAAAATAGGTCCTCTCTACTTACTTTTAATTATAAAAGAAACCTCCAAATGTCATTAATAAAGAGAAATAAAAGGCATATACTAAGGATTCTAAGCTGAGTGCACTATTCTCTATGGAGACCAAACATTTATCTAAAAAATATTAAATGAGTCAGGGAAATAAAGTTCACCCCAATATTTTATAATCTGCCTTTCCTTTTTTATTTCTCTAAAATAAGATTTCTCTGAGGTCAAAGAAGTCAATGCAGCTTTTATGACAGTATCTTAAAAAGAAAAAGAAACCTGTAAAGGCTTATTTTTAACCAAAACATCTCTTCCCTTGGGTTCTATACCTCGTCATCCTTTCATCTTTTATTTTCATACTTCCTGGTATCTCTATCTTTTCTTTTGATATGAAAAACTGCAAAAGGCTTTTAGATGGGCAGATTATTGGATGACCTTTCTCTGCCCACCAGGCTTTTTCATGCTCTCTGATGGTGTGTGCCTTTCTCTGGTGATGGGTGATGACCACTGGCACCTGTGTTAGTGACACAGGAGACAACCCCAGGAGAGCTGGTACCAATGCCGAGGCTTCCTGTTCACAGAGGTGCATGGCAGGTGAGGATGGAACTGACCCCCATGCAGTAGAAGTGGTGGCTCCACATCTTTTGGCCACCTCATTGCCTATACTATGTCTCTACCATGGACTGTGCCTAGAATTTGTTCTCCCATTATTTACTGAGTTGACTGAGCTCTGACATAATGTTCATTTTATATTTGTATAAGAACCAAGAATTATCCCTTTTCAAAAATTAACCTTTAACATTTTAGATTAGCCCATGGGTGAGCAAATATTTTTTAAACTAAAGTAACAGCTGAAAATAAAAATTTAATTTTATTCCCAGTTACGTGCTTCTTGAAAAAATATATGTATTATTTCAAAATTTTAATATAATCAATTGTCTCATACCCTTAAGTCATTTAAAAAACAGAAGTTTCCTGGCGGGAGCAGTGGCTCACGCCTGTAACCCTAGCACTCTTGGAGGCCAACAGCAGGTGGACTGCTTGAGCTCATAAGTTCAAGACCAGCCTGAGCAAAAAGCGAGACCTCATCTCTACTAAAAATAGAAAAACTGAGGCAAGAGGATCGCTTGAGCCTAAGAGTTGGAGGTTGCTGTGAGCTATGACATCACAGCACTCAACCCAGGGTGACAGCTTGAGAGACTGTCTCAAAAAAAAAAAAGTTTTCTAAGTGGCAGAGGAATGAATGAATGAATAATATACATCCAAGAAGAGCAAAGAATCCTAGTAACAATGACCAACTTTTAATAGATAGACAGATTACTAGACATCTGTGGTTTAAGTGGTTACCTATACTCATTCACTGAATCCTTACAACCACTCTAAGAAATAGGTTCCATTTTGCACCGGAGGAAACTGAGCAAAGAGGAGTTCATTAACTTACTTAAAGTCGCAGGACTACTTAAGTAGTGGAGCCTAGACTCAAGCTGAGAGGGCATGGCTCCAGACTAAACTAAACTACCTCTCAGAAACCTGAGCACTGTTAATGCCATTATTCCTCACTGCTATTGCCAACATTACCAAAGGAGTAGCCTACAATATATATGGTGCCATCACAGTTCAAGCTTAACCTCCTTTTGGGTTGCAGGAATAATGGGCATAATAAAGACAATCAAAGGCTGAAAAGATATGAGAAGGCAGAGAAAACAAATAGGTTACATGTCAAAATAGAAGTTGAAAAAATCAATGTTTTGATAATAAACATCAGAATGGACCTAACTTTGAGCATTTTATCTAGGTCTCCTATAAAATATGCACAATATCCTCACACTCATTTCGCTTTGTACAAAACTGGCTCCTGGTTATAGGAGAACAGCCCAAGGGGCCGTCCTGCTCCACACTTTTGTGGCAGCTGGAAAAAAGCTGTCAGGAGTACTACAAAATCGATTCATGCTTGAAAATGTGCTGTTAGCATTCTTTTCTGGACTTTCTTGATCTTTCAACTTTTAATTTATAAGGCACCTGAAGCCCTTAAAACAGTCCTAGAATGATTCATAGTGCCAAAGTACTTCCAAGATGTTACCTAGGACAGTCCAAGCTCACTAAAAGCTGCTAAGCCCCAGGACTTTTTCAACACACAGTATCTTCTCAAGACAAATGTGCTGCCTCCCTCTGAGCCAGGTGGTGGAAACCACAGCAGGTGGGAAAGAAACTTGCTAATTGAATTACTAATGATTTTCAACTGTGGGTCTGAAGGTCATATATATAAAGATAAGTGGAGAATTTTCCCCATTTGTAGAAAAACCTAAATAAAACTATGGTTATAATATTAGCAGAACTACAGTAGAACTTCTGTAAGTTGACCAGCCAAGGGGCTATAACAAACTGGTCAATATGTGGAGGTGTCAGAAGAAGAAACTAGGCCTACTGTACTGATATGTACATGTTGTACATGTCCAGTCTATGAAAATAAGGTCAACTTAAGGAGGTGGTCAACTGAGGTTCTACTGTAATTTATCACCTTCAGTAAACACTCAGTATTTATCTCCAGAAGCAGAATCACCAAGGCCAGAAAATAAACTATAAGTATAACTAATATGTTAGCTATACAGTTTAAATGCAAAAGTACTAATTGTAAAATTTACTAAAACATTATGCTAGGGATTAAATAACCAAACTCCAGATTCAGATATAAGGTATCATTTACCTACTACAATTCTAAAGACTAAAGTTAATACATCTGGACTAAGTAAGAATTATAGGCAGAAGTTATAAACAAAATTAAAGATGATATTGAACCTAGTAATTCTAAAATATTTCTATTATACATTCTATTTTAACTTCATATACCACCTAAATATTAAAATTTACTAACTCCAGGTAACATATTAAAGCTTAAATCATTAAAAGAATTACTTATCAGTATTTCACTTTTCTTTCTCAAAAAATGTAAACTCAAAAAACTAAAGAGGTAAGCAATTTTTGCCGAAAGTTTTAACTAATTGCAAAATTCACCCACAGCAAAGCTGACCAGGCTTCAGAAACAATACTATCTCCAAAAAATAGAGGTGTCTTCAGCTGTTCTTCTTGGGACATTTTTGGATTTTGAGTTCCTTTACTACACATATATAACACTTTTCAGCAACGGAAAAATGAAACTGAAACCAAGATGATACTCACTTTTTTTTTTTTTTTTTTGAGACAGTCTCACTTTGTCACCATTGGTAGAGTGCTGTAGCATCACAGCTCACAGCAACTTCAAACTCTTGGGCTTAGGCGATTCTCTTGCCTCAGCCTCTTGAGTAGCTGAGACTACAGGTGCCCGCCCCAACACCCAGCTATTTTTTGGTTGCAGTTGTCATTGTTGTTTGGCAGGCCCAGGCTGGATTTGAACCCACCAGCTAGCTCCAGTGTATGTGGCTGGTGCCCTTAGTCGCTGAGCTACAGGTGCCAAGCCCCAAGCTGGTACTCACTTTTGAATGTCAATGCCAAGTGGATTAGCAGGACGTAAGGACAAGGGAGGAATTCCTTTATTCCTGTCAGTACGCATATCATAATAATTCATTTCATCAACCCAAACAGCAGACTGATCCAAAATGCCTACAAAAAAACAAGGAACACAGGCTTAATAAGATAAAAAAACTCCTCTAGGCACATTCTAAGTCTTAACATACTGATTTACTTCTTAAAGACCTAGTACAAAATGCCTGTTAAATAATTTTTAAGAGATCTGAGGGCAGAACAGCTCAGAATTTTTTAATGACTAGTGGCTTAATTTTTAAAACTCTAAGAATCTATACAAAGGCAAAAATAACACAAGTTGGCCTGTGATTTCATCGTATATTATTCAATAGAGAGGACAAATCAAATGAAGCCTTTGGAAAAAGGTTCCACTAAAGCAAATGTATTCTATGAATAGTAAATATAACATATACAATGTGCATAGTAATGCACACAATAATATGACCTATAATATTTGTTTATTTAAGAGAATATTCTAAAATCATGTAAAGTTTTAGAAAACAGCTGGGAAATATGTAAGCACAAAATATTAAAGTCAAACATTAGTTCAATGGAAGGCTTCTTGTTTATGATGGCTGAAAAACCCTCATGTATATATTATTTTATATGTAAGATCTTGAGTTCCTTCTTCTAGGTTCCATAAGCTACCTAAGACATTACACTACTGATGTTTTTTAAATGGTTCTTGAAAATTCTCAAGATATATCTTTCATTTTCTTTTCCTCTACAAACATTGACATATTTTCATGAATAGTTATGCAAAATAACATACCCATGGCTATTTCTTATTCATTTTACTATAATTAATGCTGGAAATTTTCTAGGTGGTAGAAATAACAGGATTTTTTCCATAGTATGCTGAAATCAATTTGGTAAGTTCAACAAAATACCCAACAATTAAATAAGCCCAACACCTTTCAAGGAATGAGTGGCTTTAACAATGGAAATGACTAGGTAATTCAGGGAAAAGTGAGTGTGGATCAGGAGAGTAAGACATCATCTCTAAAAGTAGCATCTTCCTTTATGTGACTGAGTTCTTTATCATTCAACTCAGCACAGGACTTAGCTGCTACTACCTCCAGGACACTGGCTGCTCTAGAACAGGAGCCAAGTGACAGGGAACACAGGGGACGTGTGCCACCTCTGTGGGGGAGGATAGGAAGGGTTCCTAGAATAAGGCTAAATACCAGGCTACTTGTAGCTGCATAATCAATCCTTAGTGAACCCACTAATCCTCTCAGCACCCACAGTTGTGCCGGCAGGCAACAGGCGAAACTGTCAAAAGTTATGCTCAAGTCCAGACACCCTTGAGTCCAGTTCAATATACCTTTATTTGGCCTACTATGTGTTAGGTCCTAGACTGGGTATTTTAAAATAACATTGTTATATTCCCAAAGTTTTCTTTATCTGCTATTTAACATGTTGTAAGAAGATATCAAATTTTATCAAAATGCTTAAGTTCCTCCAGAACATTGTATAACAGGTTCCTGCTGTCATTTTATAGTTCAGTTCAGTTTTTAAAGATACTAAACAAAAAATAAAAATGGAAATATTATATTTATATGTACATATGTAAGCATACTCATATATGTACATGCATGTAAATATCACTTTGAATTCTCCCTTAATTCCTTAGATTGTTATTTACTAAAAAAATTCTAGAAATTTGTGGAGAATAATGCTATAGAAAGGCTCTATGCTCTAACAGGCATCCTCAAATTACAGCCTACGGGCCACATGCAGCCTACTTAGGACATTTATCTGGCCTGCTGGGTGTTTTTGCCGCTGCTGCCTGTCCTGCTTAGCAGCCAACTTATCCTGAGGCCCACAGTCCCGCCCTCCAATGGTCTGAGGGACAGTGAACTGGTCCCCTGTTTAAAAAGTTTGAGGATCCCTTCAATAAAAAACAAAAACAATTTATACAATGACTTAGTTTTCCATATAAAGAGAAATACTGCCTGGGTTTAATTATGCCCATGATATTCCTACATTATACAAATATTTATCAAGTACTGACTACGTGGAAGATATTATAGGACCACAAAAATGAGGAAGATAGGGGAGACAAGCATGAACAGAAATAGGTATAAGGAAAATAATGAGAAATTATAAATGTATCGTGTAAGGGACTATGCTAAGCACTTTCATGTTCTAAGTCATCTAATACCATGAAGTAGGCAATGTTATTATTCCACTTCCATCCCCCAAAAACTAGGCATTAAGGTTATACAGCTAGTTGTGGTGAAAACCCAGGCTAGAATTCAGAGTATGGCCCCTCAGACCAAGTTTCTAACACTGCTGACACAAGGAAGCAAGTGGTAAGTGCACAAAACAGGAAAACATAAAGTGCTGTGGAGTTCTGGAAGGCTGATTATTACTAGTGTGGAGGTCTAAAAGCAGATCTAAGCCAGGCAACATTTCACCCACCAGGGCCTGGAAGAATAGAGAAAATGAAGGAAAATGGAATATTTTTTACATAATATTACTGCTAACTTGGCTAAACTGAAAGGATATTTCACCTCAAATCTTAATTGTATGATAGTTTAAAAGAATGGCATTATATTCTAGATCAAGGAACCAAAACTGGTATCCAAAATGTTGAATGAACAGATTTTAAGAAGTTGGAAAGACAGTCTGTATGAACATCATCTTTAGGTCTTACTGTTAGTTCAGCAAACTGCCTTTTCAAAAGTTATGCTGTCTTAATCAATGTTCCACTTGTTAGAATAAACATAAACTGAATCTAAGTTGAGATAAGAGAGTAGGTAAATTTCACGCACATCTGTTAGATCTACATTTGAAAAGACAAACTCATTTTTACTTCTTCTTTAGAATAAAGTCATGAAGGGATTCACCTATTTTTTCAGGTTTGAGGAGCTTGAAAGAGACTGTTGAGGTTCCTTTGCCACCCGACTTAGTTGTGACAATAATGTCTCCTTTGTCATTTTTGGCTTGTCCCACTCGACACACTATTTTACTTGCAGACATCCATTCTGCCGTCAGGAGGCAATTATGTCCACAAATTGTCAAGCCTGAAAGTAAAAGTATGTACATAACAAAATTCAAAGAACTTAAACATGTATATTACATTAAAAAAATACAGAAATAACATTTCCTTATTCAATAGGTGAATTTATTATTGAATATACCCAATATTCTTGCAAGCATACCATTGTCTCTATTGGTTTTTTTAATCTGTTTTTCTCTAAGAGTTAAGACTTCTTTCAGAATATATTTAAGTTTATTAAAACATCAGTGGAATAATAAAACAATTGACCACAATAATTATATCTAGGTATTCTAGATTATTTTGACTATGAGATCTTAAATTGCTTTCAGAGGTATTAGAAGGGAGATTATTGCTATTACTAGATGTCCATGTCATTAACACAAGTATTTAAAGGTATTAATAAATTTATATATCATCTCCTGAAAACATTCTGTATTCATCCATCTTCCTGAAAATAACCTACATGTACTTTTTCCAGTGTACATTTATACATGGTATTATAGAATGAACTAAAAGTAGACCATGTATTTTAAACACAGGCTATGGTAAATCCAGTGCAATGTTTTCAGGTATTAATGGATTATCCCATTTTTTACATCCACACATAAGTTCCTATAATGGTAGTTTCCTGCTGCCTTTAGTGTTCTAATGAAATTGTCACTATACTACATTCTACTCTTACAGTAAATCCACACTCCAAGAGGTCAACTCATGATGTCACCTCCTGCATACCATGTGAATTAAAATTTAGGCAATAACCAAACAAAAGGCACCGAAATATGAGTGAGTAAGGCATGTCCCCAGGCAGAACAGCAGTATTCCACCGCACTGGCCAGCTAACCTTCTAACTTATTTCCTTTGCATTTTCCATTTCTACAAAAGAGACCAATATAATAAATATTTATAGAGAAAATAAACTAGAATGTATGTGGCATAGACTCAGGTACTTCACACTTTTCCTTTCTCCTTAATTGACTTTGCATATTGCTCAGCAGTCAAGTTTGGCAAGTGCAATCAGACACCAAAAACACCTCAACTAATGCCAAATCCGATCTTTAAAATGGAGCGAGACACTGAAACCAGTTTTTAGTACAACTTAAGGCACTACTTAGTAAGATTGTTATGCTAACCATAAAGGACTAAAAACAACTACATGTTTAAGATATATTTGTATTGCTTGAAATAATGAATTTAAAGAGTTTTCCTCAAACATCTATTATTTATTGTATGCAACCTTTTCTAATAATAGCATTTATAAGTTCCTTTAGGACTAAGTTATCAATTGGTTTTTTTTAAAGTTTAACAACACAATTTCAAATGCATTTATAATTTAAAATTATTTTTTCAAAATGGATATATATTTGATATCTTTTCTGATAATCAATTTTTTTCATGAAAAATTTAAACAATGTAAGGAATTGAAAGTGTCTCCAAACCCTATCTCCCAAGAAAAATACTGCTAACACTTCAATGCACATTTGTGTGCTCAAGTAATTTTATGCATACATAAGCCAGTCTATATATTTTTAAAGTAAATGTTTTCATTTGTAAGCTGCTTGACCATATGTTCTGATATCACTCCAAGTCAATACACAACTTAATATTTTTTAATTTTTTAATATCAAAAAGATTCTTGTGATTTTAAATATTAACTCACTTCAGAAAAAAACTAACTTCAGAGCATAATGTAAAGTCATTATTAATATAAATTTCCTATAAGAGAACTATCTTAAGATTAAAACTAAGGCATAGGATCAGATTTCAGATATAAAAACATGTTGATTTAAGCAAACATGAATGGTAGTCATGAAGGTGTAAGTTGGCACAAAATCACTCCAGAACAATAGTTAATACATCTGATCACAGCTGTTTTCATGATTCCTCTAATCTAATATCTGATCTGCATTTTTACTATAAAAATTAATAATCAGTAAATAATTTGAACATGGATTCAAATAGATCTTTTGAATGTCATGAAAAGAAAGTCAAAAGACCTGTTTCTTGATTTCTTAAGAACACTTTGGCTGAGCTACTAAAAGCTAAGAAATCTGCTTCATGATATAATAATAGCACCTTTTTTTAAGTAACTTTTTAAAGTATAATTCCAAGTAAAGTAATTTTTATAATGTTTCACTTGGCTACGTAGATATCATCTGAGTTTAAAACACTTAAAAATTATTTAGCAAGTTAAGTTTTGCTTTTTCAAAAAAAAATGATTTCTTGGCAATACATAAGGCAGGTTGCTAGTTGAACTAGCAAGGTTTATAAAAGTAATACATACTTAGTCATGTAAGAATAGCATTACCTGAAGCTAAAACAAAATAGAAATTTATATAGATGAGTAACTATCAAGTTTGGGAGCTCACAACAACTGCTAGTTAAAATTTTGGACATAACATCCACCTGTCTGATAGATTTCCAAAAATTCTAGGGAATTTTCCACTTAGGTAAAGAAATTATCTTAGAATGAGCTATTTGAAAAATGAAGACATAGGATTATATAACACTGTCTTTCCAAGAATAAATTTAAGTGATATTTACTAATCAAAAACTATACTTAGAGAAAAAAAAATGAGATGTACTTAAATAATACTACCAAAAAGAATTAGCCAGAAAGTGTAAAACTCAGTTATTAAAGACAGTGTTGAGCTCCAATTCAATTTTTTTTTACAGGTTTTTTGGATGGCCAAAACCCAACCTATCAACCAGTAGCAATAACTCAGGGAAAGCAAGTACCAACTCATAATCTCAAGTACTTTACCAATGGGCCCCTCATCAGTTCAGAAATGAGTCAAGAGAACGTCTGAGTCTAGAATGAATTCATGTGAGAAGCCAGACTCTACATTCAGTAGCACACACTGGGGTCTTTTTCTTCCTCATTCTGAATGCACTGGTATAACCACAGGAAGAGTTCACAGGCAAAAGATGGTAACTGACCATAAAATTACACTTAAAATTTGCTCTCTACCCTGGTAGCCCCTGACACCCATTTATATTTTAGAAAACAATGTTTAGGCTCCATCTTCAGAGACTGAGACTAAGCAGGCCAGAAAAATTTATTTTTAAAGTTCTAGGGAGATAAAGAGAAGCCAGGGCTAGAAGTACTGACAGATACAAACACTCCAAGAACAGGCCAGCAATAAAGGTCTCCAAGTCACGGAGCAGGGGGGGTGCAGGGAGAAATGCACTATGAAAGCCAATATCCAAAGATATTTACACCATGCCCATTGGATACATGGCACTCTACCTTCCCTGTCATTGAGCTTAAATTCTACTAAAAAAGATAAAAAACATAAACTAGTTCTAAAAACTCTTGACTTCCTTTAAATGGGATGCACAGGTTGGCGAGGTTATGTGCCCAGCAGGTAGCATACAGATAGGAGCCAAGCGGTAGCCACATCACCAGGAGATGAGGTTTAGATTGGCTTTGAGGGGAGATAAGGAGCAGAGGCATAATTCACAGAACACCTGAGAAGGAACAATTTGTATTAGGGGTGGGACCAAAGAGCACAAAAATATGGAGGCAGTTATTTTGGCAATCTAAGGGATGGAAGCTAAAGAAACAGGGACAAATCTCAGCCACAGGAAACTTTCTAAAGGACTTAAAAGGCAATATAGGTCAAGCACAGTGGCTCATGACTATAATCCAAGCACTCTGGGAGGCAGAGGTGGGAGGATCACTTGAGGTTAGAAGTTTAAGACCAGCTTGAGCAAGAGCAAGACCAAAAAATAGACAGAGAAATTAGTCAGGTGTAGTAGCTATTTGGAAGGACTGAGGCAGGAGGCTTGAGCCCAGGAGTTTGAGGCTACAGTAATCTATGATGACGCCACTGCACTCTAGCCCAAACAACAGAGCAAAAAGAAGAAAAAAAGAAGGGCAATAAAATAAAATTTGATAAAATAAAGAAAAATCAGAAAACCAAATAATGTCTTCATTTTTTTCCAGATGGCTCTGCAATGACCACAATATTGTTTTTCCATCACTTTCACTACTCCGAAACTTGCCCAACACAAAAATACATTTACCAGCGTCCATCACAGAGGACGCTTGTCCTTACCTATGAGGTCGGTGGGGCCAGTGCCCAGGTTTTCTCCTCTAATTGTGACCTTTGTCCATGGTATTCCTTCATTTGGAGAGATCCCTGTCACAAGTGGGGGTTGCCGTGATCGAGACATTGTGCTTCAAAAAGTGAACTAGTGATCCAGTTAAGAAGTAATCTGCTAAAAAGAAAGAAAAAAAGGATTGGTGCCAACTGACATAAGCAAGGACTAAAATATAAGAATGCAAGACATGTAGTACCAAAATATAAGAAGTATGCTTAAACATGTAGTTCTAAATTTTTTAGCTGTCATTTAGCCAATCAACCAACATCTGCTAAACATTAAATTGCCAAGTTACTTAAGTTGCTAAGTGTTAAATACTAACACTCTAGTTAGTAGGGAGAGAAATAAATACAAAAGAATAACAGAAAACTAAGCCCTTGGTTCTAAAAATGTTCTGTATAGTGACACATAGAACCTAATGTCACTATTTAGCTCTATGCCTCCCTCTGCTGCATCCTAAATAGATGATAGAAACTATTTTATTGTTTTACTCTCAAAGTTGTTTAAGAAAAATATTCTAATTATATGCAGAAAAATTAAAATATATTTATATTCCTATAGGTGTTACTGAATTTCACTTTACTTTGATAAACCCGTTTCATAAGGTTATTATAAAGATTATGTAGGATAATCTTTGGAAAGCACAGCACCTAACATAACAAGTAAACAATAAATAACAAAACCTCACTAGTAAACCCTATGGAGCTCAAGTGCTAAGGACTTCGCACCCCCCAGAAGGGAGCAGTGCGGCTCTGAGCAGAACAGAGAACCTTACAGACTGTGACATTAGACGCTCAGGCCCCTGCCTCAACCCTGCACAGTCAAGTGGGAGATTAGAAGTTTAGTCTTTGAAAAAATCAAAACAAGAGGACCAGACCTCAGAAAGGCTAGGCATGGCAAGGTGTGGGAGGGCTGGGGGCAGGCTAAAAAGAGGGGGTCAGAGCAAACCTGGGCAGCCAACTGAAGGGCTCCTCAGGCCATCTCCCCTCTCCCGTCCTCACAGCACTATCCGCAGGTATATAAGCTCTCCCGGCTAACTCCACCCTGTCTAGACAACTAGAGCATTATTCTCCAGAGAAACTGAAGAGTTCTAAGGGAAAAAGCCCCAAAGATCTTGACATGTAAGTGTTCCCACAAAAAAGAAGGGTTGCTTGCCCTCATATCACCTGAGGTAAGGGCCACCTAACAGGCAAACTGCCCACACACAATCTAAAGTCAGATCAGCTATTAATAGGCACACTCTAGAATGTGGAAGGTGTGAGGGACACATGGGGAAGCTTCCCTTCCACTCACTAAAAGCAGTGATTTTCCACCAGTGTGCCATGAGAGTACCTTAGGTGTGCTGTGAAAATGTTTAAAGATCATTCATTAAATTATTTTAAAAAGAAGTTCAAAACCCACTAATACATTCTTCTTTTACTTTTTTTTTTAATCAATATAAGTTAAGTGTGCCACAAAGGTTTAACTAGATGTTCATGTGTGCTGTGAGAGAAAAACAAAAGGTTGAAAAACATTGTTCTAAAGGTTCAGTGAAAATGAACTGAGATTAATAGGAGAAAAGGCCTACAAACTGATTTAACGTGCATTAGTGTGAGGGACTAGCAGAAGGATGATTACCTACTAATAAACCAAATGCTTATATACTCTTGTCTATAGGGAAAGGGAAGATGGGGGAAATGCAGCCATTTTGAGTGGTAGTAATTTTTTTTTTTTTTTTGAAGTTTCACTTTGTCCCCTCAGTAGAGTGCTGTGGCATCATAGTCACAGCAACCTCAAACTCTTGATCTCAAGCGATTCTCTTGCCTCAGTCTTCCAAGTAGCTGTGACTACAGGAGCACCCTCATAGCACCCAGCTACTTTTAGATACAAGGTCTCACTCTGGCTCAGGCCGGTCTCAAACCTGTGAACTCAGGCAATCCACCTGCCTCAGCCTCTCAGAGTGCTAGGATTACAGGCATAGTAATTTTATTTATTTATTTCCTTTTTTTTGAGACCGAGTCTTACTCTATCCCTCTGAGTAGAGTGCCCTGGTGTTATCATAGCTCATAACAACCTCAAACTCCTGGGTTGAAGGGATCCTCTCCCCTCAGCCTCCTAAGTAGCTGAGACTACAGATGTCTACCATAACACTTGGCTACTTTTTCTATATTTAGCAGAGATGGGGTCTTGAACTTCTGGAGTTTAAGCAACCTCCCTCCTCTGCCTCCCACAGTGCTAGGATTACAGACACAAGCCACCATGCCCAGCCTGAGCGGTAATAATTTTTAAGGGGAACGAATAGGCATTTTGATCAGATAAAAGTAAATAATGCTCTCTGGAAACTGAATGGGATCTGAAAACAGAAAACTGTTTGGACAAAGTTTATACTGGCTCCAGGCTACGAATGTTGATTTTTAGTCTCTTCCTTTGTGATACAAGTGTTTATCTGTTCTGCTTAATGAAATTCCGGAGCAGATATCAAAGGCAATTGTGTTCCTCTTTGACAAGTCCAGTTTCTAGGTAAAGGGACTTCAGAGAGTAGCCTCATCCTGTGCTTTAGGAGAGACAGGAGAGGAGAGGGAAAGTCGGAGAGACTTTGGGGTTCTTTCCTTAGTTCACCATGCTAAAAACCTTCTTAGAGTATCATGTTCTGAGTCCCAACACAGGACAGCCAAAGGGAGTCAAGAAAAATGTGTAAGAAAAATACATAAAGCAGATAAAAGAAAAACAAGAAAAAGATCCAGAATGAAGAGAGACTGCAGGTTCTATGTGGGTTAAATTAAGCCTTGTACCCCTCTAGCACCAAATTATGTATGTTGAAGTTCTCAGCTTCAGTAGCTCGGAAAGTGACTATATTTGGAGATAGGACTTTAAAGAGGTAATAAAGGTAAAATGAGGTTATATGGACAAGCTCTAATCTAATTTGACTGCTGTCCTCATTAGAAGAGATATTTGGACACACATCCCTACCAATAGAAGGCCACATGAAGACGCAGGGAGATGGGAGAGACGCCTGGAAAAGATCCTTCCCTCATGGCCCTCAACAGATACCAACCCGGCTGACACCTTGACCTCACACTTCCAGCTTCTAGAATCATGACAAAGTACATTTCTAGTGTTTAATCCACATTGTGTAGGGTACTTCGTTATGACAGCCCTAGGAAACTAATACAGCAAGTAACAGAGAAAAGAACTACAGAAGTATGGCAAAGCTTAATCCCAAATTAACATGTGCAGAGAAATTTTTTACCCCTAAAAGAACTGGATACCAAGAATAAAAGCTCTTGAAACTTTCAAAAGATTAAAAGAAACAAGATTTATATAGTCCTAATTAAAACAGAAACTGACCACTAGTTTAACTGAAGTTGTAATAAGACCACAAAAGGCAGGTACGTGTTTGGGGAGCAGGGGAAGAGGGTGAAAAGGGGAATAATCATCTTTTATCTCCCACAATGGGAGACTAATAACTATTGTCTAAATCTGACTTTCAAGAAATGTCAGAGTAGATGAAGAATCTGTAAATGTGTAGGTGGATAGCAGGAGAGAGCTAAATTAGTCTCAAGTGTACTGTCTAATAAAGTTTTAGACTGGCCTCTGTCCCTGGTTTCTAGGAGAGGGACTCTTAAATCTTTGGAATTTCCCCAGTAATAGAAGTGTCTTTATTATTCATAAGCCCCGAGACTATATCTGAGTTTAGGCCAACACAATGACCTGATATCAGGGCTGTCCATGCCAGAAAGATCATGTGATCACAGGGCTAGGGGTTGAGCAAAGCACTATCAAACTACCCTTCAGCACAGGGTGATGGAGAATGAATTCAATCAGCTCAGGCAATGATTTAATGATGCCCACATGATTATTTAACACAAATAAAACGGCGCAGCAACCACCACAACAAAAGAAGGTCCAGAACATTATCATCCATCCAATAAACACAAAAAGACAACTCAAAGTAATCTTGAGTTCCTCTCCTTCCCTATAGTAAGTGCCCCCAAGTCACACAATCGGAATCTTTCTGTCAGAATCAGGAGTCAACTATTCCTCTCAATTCTACCGTTGCCCTTCCACTTAGACCTTCATCTTCTCCCCCTGGACACTGCAACAGAGTTCTAACTGCTTACTCTATCTCTCCATGGCAATCTACCCTCAGCAGATGAGTTAGTTCTCCAAAATATAGATCTAATCAGTATCATCTCAGCTTTTAAAAAAAAAAAATCTTTTAGGACGTCCACTGCTTTGTGGTCTCCAGTGCTCACAAACTCCTTAGCTTCGTGCTCAAAACCTGTCATTCATGACGTCATTTACCCTCCTTCCACTAAATAGAAAGTCTTTCCAAGTTTTACTCTTTACCAATATTTCAAGTCAAGCTTAAATGTTACCTTCTGTGGAAAATATCCCTGATCCTCCCTCTTCTATTAACCTTGCACTACATAATTTTAATAGTTTCTGTGTTAAATTTTTGGTAATGTGTTTGGGCTTCCTCTTTGGAAACACTTGTTTAATCAACTCTATATTCCCAGTACCTGTTCCCAAATGTGGCACAAAATAAGCATGCCATATGACTCCTGAGAGAAGTCAAACAGATGTTTTCTGAATGTTTCATGGTGCCAAAGGAACTGGAATTAAAACAGGACAAAGAACAAGGTAGCAGCACAAAGTATAAAGGAATGGATGGGGAAAGAGGATGGAAAGAGGACTGGAATTGGGATAGACTTGCAAAAACAAAAAGTAATGAGTAAAAGACAACTGAATACTACAGCATCAAAACAAATAAAATACTTAAGATTAAATTTTACAAAAGTACAAAACTTGGGCTTTGAAAACTTACAAAACATTGTTGAAAGAAATTATAGAGGACTCAATAAATGGAAGATAGGCAGACTTAATATTGCTAAGATGCCTATGCTCCGCAAGTCGATTTACAGATCCAATGCGATCCCTACCAAATTCCCAGCTAGCTATTCCTAAAATTCCATGGAAATGAAAAGGATCCAAAATAGCTAGAATAATCTTAAAAAAAGAGAAACAAAGTTAGAAGATTCATACTTTCTAGTTTTTTTTTGTTTTGTTTTGTTTTGTTTTTTTGAGACAGAGCCTCAAGCTGTCGCCCTGGGTAGAGTGCTGTGGCATCACAG